ACATATAAGGAAATATATATATATATATATATATATATAATTCCTTATACATTATTTTAAATTATATTATATACATATATATATATAATTTCTTATATGTTATTATTTTAAGTTGTATTATATATATATATATATAGGAGTGGTCAATTGCAAACCACCTTCATTTGTAAAAACCTTACAAACCAATTTCATCCATCAATTTTCTTGATCAATGGTCAAGATTAAATGTGTTTATATTAGGAAATAAAAAAGAAAATAAAAATAAAAGTTTAATTTTTAATTAAAAAAAGAGCAAAATCGTCAAATTTTTAATTTGTATAATTTTGTAAATGAGGTAACAAGATCGTGGATATCCTAACATTAATTAAACAAAATCATTGTTTTAAAATCTCTATATATCATTTTATCATTACAAAAATTTTAACCAAAAATGCTAGAATAACTTGACAAATTATATGTTTGATAAGAATTATCTTCATTTTATGACTAAATATTATAAATAAAATAACTTCCACATCAAAAATAGATCCAAGTAAGGAACTAGGTATATTCTAATAAATTATGAAACATAAAAACATATTTTAATCAACAAAAAATAATAAAACCTTTTGAATACTAAATGAAATATTTTGTTTCATTAAATGAATGAATGAAATTGTTTCACCGTTTATGTTATGAACTCACGTGACTTCTTGTCACCTATAATGAAAGATGGACCATTTGACATATAGTAGTAAACGATATATCAAACTATTTTATTAACGGTTATTGAAGTATGATTGGACTTTTAATAATTGCAAATCAAACAACTTTTAAAACAAGGGATATCCTAATAAACGATGAATCGTATAAAGAATGAAACATTTTTAAAAATTGAATGAAACATTTTGAAAATTGAATATTTTATTTTCGTAAGTGAAACTTTTTCATGCATAGAACATTTTGAAATATTAATAAATTAAATTCATCAGTGAAATTGTGTTCATTGTCACTATTGACCATGACATTTATTTCATTACTCAAACTACATATATTTTTTCAATGAAACGAAATCAGATTTTATATTGTAGTGTTTTTACAATTCATGTTTTAGTAGTATAATTTAATAAAATAATAAGAACTATTAATGGTAAAAAATGTATATTAAGAAAAATTGATTTACCACCTTCTATATTTAATATTTTTATTATTACGTTTCCATAATTAAGAGTAATTATTACCTTCCAATATTAACCAATATACAATCAAATGACCATTATACCCTTACTTATTAAAATTAACGAAAAAAAAAAATTCATATTGGTCGAAAATGATTTGCATAGTTTTCATGAATTGGACGGTTTGTAACATAACCCGCCTATATATATATATATATATATATATATATATATATATAGGGGCTTATTCAAGAGAGAACTGATTAGTTTGTGATAACTGTGAGATCCAATTTCAACCACAAATCAACGAATAAATTAGAAAATTAATAATTATGATAGTTTGAGTTAAAATTATAATTAGAGGTCATTTTAGGTATTTTTAAAAAATCTCTCTCCTCTCTCATCTCTCATCTCTCCGACCTCCATCTCATCTCTCCGACCTCCAATCTCCGGCCTTTGGTGAACAAAAATCCGGTAGATATCAAGTAATCACAAAGATACACAATGTGATACCCATTATGATATACCGTGATACCTATTGTGATATACTGTGATACCATTTGGGTACCACTGTATATCACAATGGGTATCGCATTGTGTATCTTTGTGATTACTTGGTACCTGCCGGAATTTTGTTCACCGGAGGCCGGAGATTAGAGGTCAGAGAGATGAGAGAAGAGAGAGAAGAGAGGAGAGAGGAGTTTTTTAAAAATACCTAAAATGCCCTCTACTTATAATTTTAACTCAAACTACCATAACCATTAATTTCCTAATTAATCCATTGATTTGTGGTTGAAATTGGATCTCACAGTTACCACAAACTAATCAGTTCTCATTTGATTAAGCTCATATATATATATATATATATATATATATATAAAATCATAGGATATGTATATTAATGTATAAAATAATAACATATAAGAAATTATATATATATATATATATATATAATATAACTTAAAATAATAATATATAAAAAATCATCTACATTACATTAATAAGCATTAAAATCAAAGTCTTGAGTACAAATTTTAATGCATTGAATACAAGCTTTTAAAGCACAAAATAAAAAAATCTCTTAATTACAAGGTTGTATGCATGATGTACAACTTATTAATGCATTGATTTTTCAACACAACCAAAAATGGAGTCCTATACTCTCTTTTCTTCTACAACAGTCTCAACAGCTCCCATTTGGTATAAACTTTCTTTTCTATCCTTCCTATAAAACTTTCTTTTCTTTTCCTCAACATCCATTTTTACATATAAATACTCATTGAAACACAATATACAAATATTATATGCATGTTTTGAATTCTTTAAAAGCTTTTGACCATTTTTGTCTTCATAAAAAACTAAAACTTCTTGATGCTTTCACCTTTTTGGTCTAACTCTATCGATCTGCCCCCAATACCATTTACCTTCCTCTTTTATTTTTTGTTTGAATTTCAAAAATTAAAATAAAAAAACTAATTTGTCATTATTTTATAGTGATTCTTGCCCACTTCAATCTTGCTTATGATGGTTCAATTTTCTAGACATTTGGCAACGACACCCCCTAATATGGGTGTTAAATGCTTTAAAAATTGAATCATTATTAAAAAAATATAAAATATCAAAATCAATAAATTAATATTATTATTTTTGTATTGATATACATATATATATATATATATATATATATATATTAT